ATGAACAAGATTGAACCATGAGCGGCAACGATAATGCTAATCATACATCCATTTTTATCTCCTATACACCCTTGGTAATTTTCATATCCAACTATATAGTAAAAAATTAAAAATAAATACGTGAGAAGTAAAAATAAGTATTTAAATAGCTCTACCTTATTTCAACTACCGCACCAAAGTAGATGCGCCAAGGTTGCCTCGAAGCCGTTGGAAAAGAAAATGTGCACGCAACATCTTTTCTTGTGGATCATCGACATTGGAATCTTTTCCATGTCAAAATGTTAAAGCATTCTGACAGAAACATTGTCAAAAAACACCGGCCAATTAACTAAAGTACTACATGTCGGTTCCTTTAGGAAAGTTTCTTGTTGTAATTATCTTCCCTTTTTTGATAAAACTAAAAGTTATTCCAAGAGGTCACATTGCACATCTGGGCTATCTATCTAGCATGCACGTCAGAGTACTTAATATTCCTTTTAATTTATGCAGAATATTAATTTATGCAAGCCTCCAAGTGCTCACATTTACAAACGACCTTGGTCATAAAGAATCCAGAGTGTACATCGAGCACCCAATGCAACTCAAGTCATGATTCATGAGTTATGTTGCATCCGCATGCATGGTACTTTTGAATTTCGGTTTAGCTATCACTTTGCAAGTATATCAATATTCGAATAAGTTCATACTATAAGATTAAAGGAAATCAGTGGCGAAGTCAAAATTTTACTTGTAGATAAGCCTCACATAAATGTTAAAATATAAAATAAATAGATAGTAGTTATAAGAGAGTACAATACATGTTTGGAGTTGTGAGCTAATTAAAACTTTTGAGTGGCAACCATTTAGTACTACGGTATAATGATATTCTTCTTCATTTGTAAATAAGAGGTCTTAGGTTCGATTCTCGCCAAAGACGAAATTGAACCACATTATTATGGCAAACTCATTATAAGGCATATCTCACTCTCTCACCTCATTAGAGTAAATACTATCATTTGTTAATTTTTTTTTAATTTAAAAAAAAAAAACTTTTGAGTGGCTACTTGCTTTTTTTTTTTTCACTTTGAGATTAACCTTCCAATATCAAGTCAATTAAAATGCTAGAGAGATCATATTTTTTACTATATTTTGAAGACCAACTGATGTGGCGATTGATGATTAGATTCCTTCTTTAATGGTTTAAAGAAGTAGTTAAACCATTATCGGCCAAATCATGTGTCTCAAAATATGGTTCAAATAGATGGTCTTTCTAGCATCAACCCAAGTCAAAATAGAATGGATTGTGAATTTTCGACCAAAAAATGAGAAGAATGAATCAGAAATTTTGAGAATATGATATATGAAATTTTAAAAATCTAGTGAAAATTTAAAGAGAACAGAGAAATTTACAAATCTTAATATTGTTGTGGGTTGAGAATTTGGAGGACAATATATATAAATTCAAGAAAGGGAGAAGGAAAAGCTGAAAGTTTATTAATCTTCGGTTGGACAATGTGAAATAATATTTTTTGAAAAACTAAACTAGACTTTAGATTTTAATTTTAAGAGTTATTGATTTGTTTATCAAATAAGATATTAAATTTAGATTTAAGATGAGTGCTGTTAGAATTGAAAAGAAAAAAGTGAGGGTAGGCCTAGGCCTATGCTTGCCTTATTAGGTGCATTTGTTGCATCAGACTATCTCAAACTGGATTAACTTCAGGAAATAAAGTGGACTGACTTAGACAAGACTAAGATGGACTTAGTGAAGCGTTGGGTGTAATATTAGACTAAGAAGCAAGATAATGAAAATAGTACTATCCACAGTTTGGTGTTTGCTCAAACGTGGACTAAATTATTGTTCAATTTTCTTTTCTATTAAGGATATTTTCAAAATTAATATTATTGGATGAGAGTGAGAGTCAATAAAAAAATACAAACCAAATTTCTTGCCAACGAAAGAAATATACATAATTCAAGAGTAGCATAATAACATGTAACGCAATATTTTACAACATACTTACAATAGCTACAATATACGCTAGCTACTATATTCTACAACATTATCATTCAAAAGTAAATCCTCATGATTCACAAAAAGCTAATTAACGTTAGCCAAAATATTTCACAGTACATGACTAAGTTGGAAGCCACGAACTAATGTTGTACGATTAACAAGAACTCCTACTGGAAGGGACAACAGTCCAATATACTACCTTCCAAATATGCACGGTAGTTTAGCTTGGGAATTAAGGTAAGGCTTTATACATATTGGATTCCTCTTCTTAATCCATATAACTATAAAGTTATAGCGTTCATTCATGAGACAGGACCAGGTAAAATTAAACCAATTCTTGTTTCAAGCCTCCAACTAAATCGATCATACAAGGAAAACCCCATGTCCGAGCGCTACAGTCTAGAGTCAATGTTATACAGTAGCATTACTCCTGGACAATCATATCCTCATCCGGGTTATTATCCTGCCCAGCCTCCTAATCAATGTATGGTAATTCAATATTCTCCACCACCACTTCTTCCTCCGTATGGATATGATCATCATCTTCAGTATTACAGTAGTAGTACTACTCCAGATCCCGGACATGGGCAGGGCGACAACAATCAATCCCAGCTTGCTCCTCCTCCAAAAGGCAAGCCCAAGAAGCCCAAGAAAAGAAAATCTGTCAAGCAAACATCGCATAAAGTTTGCAGTAATCGAGTTAGCCAAAACACAGGGGACAATCATAAGATTTACAACATTGCCATCAGATACAGTTTTCGTGATTTAAGCCATGCGGAGGACGAAGAAGGAAAAGGAGAAATTGGCATCCAATACGGTCGTCGTGACTTGAAAGAAGAACAAGAAGAGTGAATATATTAGGGCAATTCGGTGCATATACATTATGTTCTGGCGATTCCCACACCACAATAAAACAATCTGCTGTTCTATGTGCCTTAATTAATTAATATATGTATAAGAAATTTTGTAGAACATCCACCGTATGAGAAAAATTTTATGAAATTGAAATATAAGAAGATTATATTATGATAACTTTCAAAGTATTGTTGAGCTAGTCGGTAGAGTTCTTTCATATATCTGTTTTTAAGTGTTGATGGTGCGCCAAAAATTTGACTAAAGTCCAAAAGGGAAAGAAGAAATTAGTATATATGCCCATATCATGTGGGGGTACGCTGATCGTGTTGGTAAAATTATTAATTGCATGCTAGGTTGGAAAAATTATATATATATATATATATATATATATTGTATGCTGTTAGAACATTGTTACTTGGTATACTCGATACATGCATTGCATAATATGTATAGATGACGAGTTTATGTTATAATGTGATAATAATTAAAAACGAATCCGCGTGTTATAATAGTATGGAATAAGTAAGTTGATGTTTTATTATAAAATTAATTGACAATATATAAGGAGAGTAATCTCACTTTTTATAAGCACATGTAAGGTTTCTTAGTTTTTGATATGGATTTAGACTCTTAACAAGCCCTTCATGGCTAAGTCATTTAAACTTAACACATGAAAAACACACGTAACGTGAGAGCATGTGGATTGTTTGGCTCAACACGTGAGTAACATATTCCAATATTATGTAGGAAGTTGAAGTTCTATAATAAAACAGAGAATAGTTTAACTTCTTATAAGCACATGAAAAATCATATAATTTTTCGATGTAAAATTTACATTCTCAACATGAGTGAACTTGTTATACCACCTAATGGTGTCAATTATCTCTCGCTGAGTTGAGAGTCTAATTAACTGATAGTAAACTGTCACAAATAAATTATGCCATATCTATGGGAAAAAAAAATATTTGTATTGTTCTGTAGCGCACCAAGACAAGACATGCTAGAACTATTCCATATGTCTAAATATTCGATGGAATGCTTGTTTGGAAGTGCTTTTAAAATGACTGAAAATATTTTTTAGGTTCTAAAAACACTTGAAGTGCTTTCCAAAATTCACTTGCATTTTTGCTAAAGATTGATACTAAAAACGCTTTCAGTTATTTTAACATCACTTCCAAACGAGCTACTATATTTTAGAATATATTAATAATCAATCCACATTTAGTAACTAAACTACAAGTAGGTTAGTTATACCACATAATGTGTTCTAGTACCACATAATAATTTTTCATATCTATGTCGACATAAAGTGAATTAAGACTAGTGTACACTTCTACTGAAGAAAGTTTTTATGAGTAAATTGTAGCCATGGTCCCTTAACTTTAACTCAACTGGAGCAATGGTCCCTCAACTAAAACTCCATTACCATCGGTTTGATCCCTCAACTCATCAAAACGTTCATCTAGGATCCCTTAACTAAAAATCCTTACCATTAGTCTCTCAACTTTAATTCAACTGGAGAAATGGTCCCTCAACTTTAACACAATTAGAGCAATGGTCCCTCAACTTTAACCCAATTGTAGCAATGGTTCTGACGAAGTTGACGAAAATGACCATAGCTACACATTTGATGAGTTGGGGGACCAATAGTAATGGATTTTTAGTTTAGGGACCATTGCTCTAATTTTATTAAGGTTGAAAGACCGTTGCTACAATTTATTCTAATTTTATATGTAAATTTTTTTTGCATGAATTCTAGTTTTTTATTGTTATTTTTAACAGGAAAACACATTTTTGTACTATCTTTTTTAGAGTGTGACTTACTTGTATTAGTAGATTTCACCTCTATACTAAAATTTGGTCATCCTCTCAATACTCATTTGAACGTGATTTAACAAATTGCTAACTCGATTATTATACCCTATTTGTTGGATTTATCCAAATTATAAGATATGGTGGTCAACTCCACTAGCACATGTGGATTATATACATGATAGAAATGTATACGTACCACGAAAAATAGCTTGGAAATTAAGCAAGCAACTTGGTATATATTCCCACTCCATCTCCTATATGTAGAAACGAGATAGCTGCATTGGTGACTACAGCAAACAAGAAATCAAGTAATTTTGAGCCTCCAACCAACACAATGTCACATACCCTCTTGTACCGTGGCAGCATGCTCGCCAATGGTTCAGACCCTATGTCCCCTCAGCCTACATACAATCCCAGCTTTTGCGCTCCTCCTGCAGGTTACAATAACTATGGTCCTCCTCCTCCAGTACCAAATTATAGTTATGGATACTACGGTAATAACCATCCATCAGCGCAGTCTGCTCCACCTGCTCGTGCTTCGTATCAGTCGCATGACTATACTAACTATTACGCTCCTCAACCTCAACCTCAACCTCAACCTCAGCCTCAACCTCCATCTAATTATGGATACTCTAACCAAGAGTATTCAACAATGCAGCCTGCTCGACGTCCCAAGGCCAAGAATGGTAAAAATGGGAAAAGGGGTTCTAGTGGTACATCTTACAAAGTTTCTGGGAACCGAGTCAGTGGAAACAAAGGAGACCACAATGGAGTTTTCAACGTTGGCAACACGCATGGTCGTGGCGGCACGGACGATGAAGAAGAAGAAGATTGAATATGAATTATGGAAATATTAATAAGTCATGCATGCACGCTACGTGCATGTGGTAATTCGCAGTTCCAGAAGGGCATGGTTTCATATATCATGGGCTAAGATCTTCCTTACATTCATAAATAATTAAGAGATGATGTACTAGTACTACACTTTCTGATCACGGCTATTGACCTTTTAAGGTTGTAGAAACCGTGTATTCAATAATTGGAATTGAGATATTACAACCTATTATACATGAAGCGTATGATTGCTAACCTAGTAGTTACAATGTAACATATATAAATGCAATTATAGCCTAATAACATCTTATACCATCTAATAACATCATGACGGCAAAACAATAATGTGTTGACATTCATTGGCTTTAAAACCATCCTTGAAGAGCCTTAACAATGGTAACTGCCTAACAAAGGTTAACAATTGCTTAATAATTATTATTTATCTACTAATCAGTACTTCTATATAATGATAGATTCTGCAATGGGCCTGTACTCAGGTGTTCATGTAGTTAAGAGCATTTACCTTTGCAGTCAAGCTCCAAAGTTCGATTATGGGTTATGCATTGGAAAGCACCACGTCCTCTCGTATTAGTTGAACAAATTTGACAACTTGATTTCTAGCCAAAATATTAATTTTAGTTATGATTGAGCCACGTCAACAAAAATATCAATGACATTCAGCCATCAACCATCTTGCAATTATAATCCCAACTTTGAAGTTAGAACATTTTGCATTCATCTACGTATAGAGGGCATCCTATAAAATTCATCATTTGCAGAGGTAAGTCTCACACCCCATCTTGGTGAGAGAGAGAATTGATAATTATTTATTAACACGTGATGTCTCACTTAAGAAACAGTTGGTTGTTTGCTTGCGAAATAACATGAGATTCGCTAATTGCATATCATTCTTAAGGGGACGTGATGCATTATACTCAACTGGAGTACTATTTTGCAAGCTTCCCGAAAAAAAAAAAAAGAAAAAAAAAAGGTATTTGGTCTCAAACAATGAATGTTTTTATCTTTTTATAACTGGGTGGATTTGAGCTATGTCGAATCTTAATTCTCTTCAATTTGCTCTGACCGGGGTAAAAGTAGGTGGCTTGAAAGAATAACGCCGATGATCGAGCCTTTGTCTAGTATTTTGTTTGCTTTATCTCTAATGCCTGTGCCAAGTACATTTCTTTACATGTAAATCCCCACTCAATCAACGAAATTATATTAAAATTCACTACAATTGCACTGAAAAATAACTAGACAAAAAACTTTCAAAGTGTCATTAAAAAATAAGGAATTTTAACGAAAAGTTCCCAGTATTTTATACTTTAATGAAAAATCATATTTTTACACTAAAAAGTCAATCATGATACTATTCATTTTATCCTTTATTTTATCTTTATTGTTAAAACTCAAAGTTTTCAAATTATTTTCATTATTTTTCCTTAAAAAATATTTCATTTAATCATATTTTCAAAGTCCTTGGCAAGTTAGCCTAAAATTCATTGCGACTTTGTATATGTAGACTGTCTACTTGGTATAGGGATTGGTGATTGGTCTTTAATGGTGGGCTCGGGGTCACAGAAGCAAAGTTTGGTCCTTTAGGCTTGATATGGGCTCGGGTTCACTTCCATCTTTTGCCCAAACGAAATAATTTCTCTCTTGAGCAACCGTTCTGGCATATTCTACGTTTTTTGAGCTCAAATTTTGAAAGACATACATATTAAATTGCATATTTAAGTTACACAATTGAAGAAAAACCGTTATATCGGTTGATTTAACAATAATCTAACGGTCCTTGTTTCAATATGCTAGTTAGATGTGCAAACTTGATGCGTATCGAAGAATTTTCACAACTTTTGAGGCCATCCATGCTGTATAAATTTCTTGGTACTCTACTCTCCGTCTCTATAATTTAATTCCAAAACAGATTTTCCTCCTAATAATTTTATGCTTTCAATAAACCTCTCAAGCATTGTAATGCATAATGAAAAATAATAGTGTTATTTAGACACAAAAAATCAATACATTTGTTAATAAAAATAGACACAATACAAATGAGTCGCATAATGGTCCAATTATATTAGATATAGATAGTGTGCCAAGTTTGCACATTCAAAATAGTATTACCGATTGAAAAAAGTCTAAGTTGATTTGATTTCCTTATAGATTTGTTAGTTCTTACAAAGACAACATACTTGTGAAAGATATTAAGAAAATGATGGTACTATTCACACTTATTTTTACCTCTGATATATTCTTGTTAATTTTTTACCATTAATATTTTTCGATTCGTTTGATCTAAATGTCGAAAAATTAAGAAATGTATGAAAAATAAAAATTAGAATGTGAATAACAATGCTAAAAAATTATTCCACTAAACAAAGCCCAATGGACAACCGCAGAAAACTAGACGTTGTAATAGCGCTGATGATGCCCTAACCAAAACTTTTGAATTAAATTTGAGCTGTGAAAGTACGATAAACACAGAGAGACCATACGACGCCGTTACACATCGCACCATATTTACGCATGCAAAATTGTTTTTAGCTTGACAAGTATCTGTACGGGAGAAGTAGAGTGGGCATGAAGGTCCAAAACGCTGCGTTTGGAGCCTGTTGTAGCTTCCTTATTATTTCGGCTTCCTCCACCTCTCTCACAGAGAGTAGAAAATCCAAGCAAGTAAAAGCCCCAGAGCTCCCTCCAAGAATCTTAAAGAGCCCCTCTTTTGGCGCGTGTAACACACTCTCTGACATTCCCAATCTTCCCCTTTCTTCCTTTTAATTCAAAGGAAGAAATTGAATTGATTTTTTTATTATTTCCGGTTCTAAATTTCTGGTTTTTCCACCTCTGGATTCTAAATTCTGGAAGCAAAGGCCACTATAATCTACTGAAAGATGCCGTCTTGAAGGTACTCACACAAATATACTTTCTTTTTGGAATTTAATTATTTTCTGCACTTTGATGTATATATTTTTTCTTGCTCGGGGAATTTAGACAAGGGCTTTGTGTTATTGGGTTTTGTGCAAATTGTGTTTTGCTTTGTTTGTCTGTGTGTTTGTATTGAATTGTATTGTAGTGCAAGGGAATTGAATTTTTAGGGTTCTAATGGTTGTTACAAAGGAGTGCATTGTTGATTGTGGAATGTGAAGGGTTTTCATGAGTGTGGTAATGGTGTTTTGGGTTTCTTTGGATTGCCCATTTGGTTAAATCAATTGTATGACTCATTGAACTGGTGGTATTGTTTTCCCAATGAGGTAATTTGAGTTGATTGTTTCAATTAGGTTCAATTTAGGAGTTTCCAATAGGTATTCCGATTATCTTGAATGTTATCTGATTTTTAGTGTTGCTCATATGGTGTTGGTGTGAGTGTTAAAAAGGTCGGGACTCGGTTTGCATTTTACCCTATGGTTTAGTTTAGGGTTTTGGAGTTTGAGACTTAAACAAGTGTTTGCTTACCTAGATTGTGTTTGTTGATGAGCTAATCTTAGTTTATTTTGGATTCCCACCGTCCAATCTGGTTTCCAACTTATGGATGCAGAGGAGTCCATGTTTGTGGTGTCTGGCACTGTTTCTGTAAAGAGCATGTTTTTCTAATTTTCATTGTCAAGTTACCGCTGTGCCTTAATCTTCACTTACCTTCACTTACTTTTACTTGTAGGTTTTACGGGAGCTATGGATCTTCAAAAATTTCCTTCTCGTGATGCACCTTCTGTTGGTATGAAACCTTTGAGCTTTCTCAGTAAGGTGCATGACAAGAATCAACCTGAGGATCTAGAGACAACTTATATAACTCATGCTAAGGAGCCTGATGCGGATATTGACCTCAGAGAAGTATATTTTCTTATCATGCATTTTCTGTCAGCTGGCCCATGCCATAGAACTTGTGGACAGTTGTGGAACGAACTTCTTGAACATCAACTTTTACCTAGAAGATATCATGCTAGGTATTCAAGGAAGGGCATGCACAGCGAGGATGAAAATGATGATGGGAAGTCATTTCCTTTAAATTACAATATGCTGGTGCACAGGTATGTAATTTGCGCTTTTTTTTTTTTTTTTTTTTTTTTTTTTAATAAGTCGACCTTTATAACAGGCAGTTATTAGGTAACCTTCATTAGATTTCGCTGCGTCTTGTGATACTCAATATTGTGTGGCATTAATTAATTACTTAGACAGACTTAGATCATAAAATGAAAAACAATAGCTATTTTTTTATCATGCTGTTCTAACTAAAAAAATGGTAACTTAGATATAACTCATAAAACAATTTTGTTTCCTTTCATGAGTTGTTTTCTACTTGTTTTTGAGTTAATTACATAGAAGCATTTATTCTTTATTGCTTTTCTTCGTCTTTTCTTTTTCTGAGAATAAACAGTGGGTATGATCTGGATTCTGGTTGGCACTGTTCAAGTATGTATGCTGTTTTCTATATGGGCGACTCTGACATTATTCATTCATCTCAATTCAAATGGACATTTTGTAGATCTTAGTCTTTCTGGGGATCCTCTTTCTAAAACCCATGTAGGGCATACATATATGGGCGACTCTTACATTATTCATTCATCTCAATTCAAATGGACATTTTGTAGATCTTAGTCTTTCTGGGGATCCTCTTTCTAAAACCCATGTAGGGCATACATGTATGGGCGACTCTTACATTATTCATTCATCTCAAGTGTGTATGCTGCTGCTTCTTCTGATAGTTCTGTTCCAAACTTTTTCACGCCAGTAAGCGTAGTCCTTGAAGGAAATAAGTATGATTGTATTATATTTGTTATTTTCTATAATATCCTTTTGATTCCCTTTCCTCATCGTATAGGTATCCTCACATTGAAAATGACCATTTGGTAAAGCTTTTGAAGCAATTGATTTCAAGTGCAGCCCCACCATCAAGAGGTACGAGTGGTGGAAATGCTCCAAATGCAGCTGATGTACCTACTCTCTTGGGACGTGGTTCATTTTCGCTTCTGACCTGTAGGTGACATTTATTAAGCTTTAAATGCTTAATTCATATGCTTGTGATACCTTTAATTTTTGAAGTTATGGTTTTGTCGTTATTGACCAATGTTTTCCTTATTCCAAATTTGTTTCTTGTGTGTGTGTGCGTACTGTATACACACATACATATATAACTTGGTGTGTGAGTGTGTCTGTGTATATCTTAAACTTCATTTCAAGTTTTCATACTGTTATCATGTTCAATCATCTGTTGGGGGTTTGAAAACGTTTCCCTCTCTTTTTGGAAGTTCTTTCTGCAACATTTACATTTGTTTTACTGGTGATCATCCTCAATTTCCTTTCCTGTTCGAAAATATGTGTTTCTTCAGTACATCTAAAAAGGAATACCTTCTCCTTTTTCAGATGAAAGGGATCAAGTACACAATGAAATGAAGCCCCCTCCTGCTCACATGCGTTGGCCTCACATGAAAGCTCATCAGGTTCAAGGGCTAAGGTTGAGAGAAATTGGGGGAGGTTTCACCCGACATCACCGTGCACCGTCTATTCGTGCTGCATCTTATGCCATTGCAAAGCCCTCAACCATGTTTGAGAAGATGCAATTTACCAAGAGGATAAGGGGCCATCGAAACTCTGTCTACTGTGGTATGTTTTCTCATTCTCAGAGTTTACTACTGTTAGGTAGACGTGGAAGTTCATTTTACAAATTCTTACTACTATTAGCAAAGAACCGAGTTACTTCAGTTCGCATGGAAGCGTAGGATTGTTTTTATACTTCTTTCTCTCTCTTGTTTTTCTGCTTATGTAATTTTAGTATCTAGTTTCTGCCATAGTTGATCTAGGATTAAGAGAATTGATATATGAAAAGGAGACGGAAATAATATATTAAAAAAAAGAGAGAATTATTGTAAGCTTTTGTCTGCTGTTTCACTCTACCAAGTTTGCAGTTTCACACCTTTAAAATGTGGTATATTTCTCATGGTGGTTTTATTTGGACATGAATGATGCAGCAACATTTGATTGCTCAGGCAGGTATGTTATTACTGGTTCAGACGATCGCCTAGTGAAGATCTGGTTAATGGAAACTGCATTTTGCTTAGCCAGCTGCCGTGGACATGAAGTAATTTGTTATTGGCCCCTCAAAGATATAGTTTTCCATTGTTGTCCCTCAATTTATACTCATTTTATCTATTTATACTCATTTTATGATTAAGGGAGATATCACGGATCTGGCTGTGAGTTCCAATAATGCTTTGGTGGCATCCTCCTCAAATGACCATATGATTCGAGTAGTAAGATTCATCTGTTGCCAATATATAAGGATAATGTGTCTATTTTTGCATTTTACATTTTAGCTTTGACCTATGCTGGGAACTCAATGTTAACTTGCTTTAACTTTTCATGTTTACTAGTGGCGCTTGCCAGACGGACTGCCAATTTCAGTATTGCGAGGACATACTGCAGCTGTTACTGCCATTACATTTAATCCCAGGCCAGGCTCTATGTACCACCTTCTATCGTAAGGCCAATTCTCTCACTCTATTTAAATGAATTCATGTGGTGTGTCTAATTAGCTGTAAGTAGTTTACTCTTCTGTTTTTGGTGGGAACCATTGTTATTATATATTCTTAAGTTGTTCTCCTTATTAATTAACCTTGTGCTGTTCTTTTGTCATTTGCAGTTCATCTGATGATGGAACTTGTAGGATATGGGATGCCAGGAGTTCTCAAGTGAGTCCAAGGATATACATTCCAAGACCTTCAGATGCTGTAGTTGGTCAGTTGTTTCTCTAGTGCAGCTAAGTTCAATGAACTTACTGACTGGTGAAAGAGAACTTAGTGTGGTCGTATAATTGTTTGACTGCAGGGAGAAACAGTGGTCCATCTTCAAGCATTGTCACACAGGACCATCATATCTTCTGTTGTGCATTCAATGCTAATGGAACAGTCTTTGTCACCGGTAGCTCGGACACTCTTGCAAGGGTATATAAAACCTTCATGTTCCTTGTTATTATTTCTGCAGCCTTTGGTTTTGACACTATCTTCACTTACTTTTGCTTCAGTGAAATGAAAATTTTCTGCCCCTAATGAGTAATGAATAAACTCATGAATTGTATCTTAAATAGTTTTCAGTTCAAATACAAATGAGGGAAAAAAAAATTCATTTATATATTTCTACTAAGAGCTTGCTGGTTGTAGGTGTGGACTGCTTCTAAGCCAGGCTCGGATGAGTCGGACCAACCAAATCATGAGATTGATGTGTTATCTGGCCATGAGAATGATGTCAATTATGTACAATTTAGGTTAGTTTGTGCTGAAATTTTGCTGGCAACATATGTATCAATCTTTGCATGCTGATTTATGTTGCTTCATACACTGCAGTGGTTGCGCTGGAGTATCTAGATTTATGGCAGCTGACACCTCAAAGGAAGAGAACACTCCCAAATTTAAAAATTCATGGTTTGTTTCTCTTCTCTCCTTATGATTGTTATGTTAATTTTTCTCTGATATGTTCATATTTTTCTCCTCTCTGTGCACTTATATCTGTCTATTCTACACTTTTCCATTTGGGATTAGGTTCACTACCAGTAGTACATGATCTACTTTATTTTCCAGGTTCAATTATGACAATATAGTCACTTGTTCTCGTGATGGGAGTGCAATTATCTGGATTCCCAGATCACGAAGATCACATGTAAGTTTTAGCAAAGATAACTTATAACTTCCCTTCTAGCCTGCCCTTTTTCTCAATAAGCTTTTCTAATGAAACCGTTGTATCCACCATCTTTTGAATTTTTCGCTTTAAATAGGAAAAAAAAAATATGTATAGCTAATTTCATACTCCAGGGAAAAGCTGGTCGTTGGACACGGGCATATCATTTGAAAGTCCCACCTCCGCCAATGCCTTCTCAGCCTCCACGAGGAGGCCCTCGCCAGAGGATTCTTCCAACTCCTCGTGGTGTTAATATGATTACCTGGAGTCTTGACAATCGATTTGTCCTTGCTGCTATCATGGGTAATTTGTTGGTTGTTTCTCATGTACAGTTTATGTATTAGAATATCATTTCTATGCATCGTAGTAATTGTCAATGCCTTTGCATAGAGTAAAGAAACCTAGGTCTTGCAACCTTTCATGGACTAAGGCCTTAAATTCTGTAATTTAACATTTCAAAATTCTTCTTTTAATGCAGATTGCAGAATATGTGTGTGGAATGCTTCTGATGGTAGCTTGGTGCATTCACTGACAGGTCATACTGAATCTGTATGTGGCTCAATCTTTTCGTTATTGATTATCCTTTTTTCCCCTTAATTCTCCTTTCGAGAATTTTATCATTTGATCTTGCAAAGAGAAGTATGGTGAAGAGACTGAGTTAAGTAGCGTGTGCCTCCATATTAGAAGAACATGACACTGCATTGTTGTGGAAACTTTCTTTGGTGTGTAGACAGTCAGATGTTGGTTAGGTCATTGCTATGCTTGATCTTTTCAATTGGTTGCCATAGTCGTCCTTCTTTATCTATTGCTGCCTTATCTACAATGTCTTAGTGCTGTACAGAAAATGGGGCCCTTTTGATCAGTCATATATCATGTGCTAGTCTACCTACAAATTGCTTTTGCTGTTTATGTTTTCCCAATATCCTGATTTAGTGGTCTAGTCTTCTAGCTATCACGTTCCATTTCCTTTTATTGATTTATTGTCTATCGTATTGCTTCAGAAGTCTAGGTATTGCAACCTTTCACGAACAAGTGAAACTTAAATCTCTGACAGTATTCACTTCTGTTATTGATAGACATATGTGCTGGATGTTCATCCTTTCAACCCCAGGATAGCAATGAGTGCTGGCTATGATGGAAAAACAATTGTCTGGGATGTGAGTTTCCAGTTTCCTTATTTTTCTTCCAATTATTTTTATGTTCTATGGTTTTGAATGCTTTGTTGACTTGTGATTTCAGATATGGGAAGGCATACCTATCCGGACGTTTGAAACTTCCCACTACAAATTGGTAGACGGAAAGTTCTCACCGTAAGTGACTAATAGGAACTCTCCATTTTGAAAGCTTTTTTGCTATACCTGTCGTATTGTCGTTAAATTTTCTTTATTCTTTATCTAATTATAACTGTATGAAACCCTGTTCCATTGGTGTTGAAATTGGCTATTTATATGGTACTTTATGCCCCAGCTTTCCATGATTCTATGTAGCTTTAACCCTAGCTTTCCATGATTAGTTATTTTTGCTTCTCTTTTGCGTGGCAGATGTTATCTGTTGGTATCCCCGCACCCCATTTCTCTCTTTTCTTTTTGGCTACTATTTGTGAAATATACTTTGCTTTCTGAACTGCTTTCTGGCAGTTACAAAGGGTTTTTTCTTTGTAATATAGGGATGGGACATCAATTATTCTCTCTGATGATGTCGGCCAATTGTATATATTGGACAGTGGCCAAGGGGAGTCCCAAGATGATGCACAATATGATCAGGTTTGCTTTTTCCCTTCAATTTTTCTAGCAAAATCCAAATATATGCCTTTAGTTTGGTTGGATTTTATTTTTACACTTTTTTCAAGTTGTACTTAATTGTGCATACACTTGACAGTTTTTTCTTGGTGATTATCGCCCACTCATTCACGATAGTTTTGGAAATGTTCTTGACCAGGTTAGTTGGCCATTTGCACTATTGTTTGTAATCGACCTACCATAACTTAATTCTGAATATATTTTCAATGCTCTTATGTTGGATGTGTATTATAATTGTTACATGATGTGGCCACTTAGATTGAAATATTCACGTTTGATTCAGGAAACTCAGCTTCCAGCATACCGGCGGAATATGCAAGATCTACTTTGTGACTCAGGTTTCACTCTACTCCTTTTCCTGTATGGAATTATTGTCTTCTGGAAATTTATTTTCTCAAGCACTGGTTTATGGTGGAACCATAGGCATGATACCGTATGAAGAACCCTACCAGAGTGCATACCAGAAGCGGCGGTTAGGAGCTCTGGGTGCCGAGTGGCGTCCTTCCTCTCTAAGACTTGCTGTTGGGCCTGACTTCAGTCTAGATCCGGATTACCAAATGTTGCCTTTGGCAGACTTGGATATCTTGACTGAGCCTCTACCAGAATTTTTAGATGCAATGGATTGGGAACCAGAAAATGAAATACGTAGTGATGATACAGATTCAGAGTACCATATTACTGAAGATTATTCTACTGGAGGGGAGCAAGGAAGTTTAAGTTCAAATCCCTCCATCGATCCAGAGTGCAGTGAAGAAAGTGAGGATGAGGATGCTGAAATGGATGGACTTCGAAGATCAAAAAGGAAAAAACAAAAGGCTGACGTAAGTTCTCTTTCAGTAACAAATTATACTTCAGAATTTGGTTAGGACCTGCCTGAGTGTTTCTGTTTTCTGTTTTCTGTTTCCTCAGAACGAAGTCGTGACTTCCTCTGGTAGGTGTGTCAAAAGAAGGAATTTGGATGAGTGTGCTGCCAATTCATCCAGAAGTAACAGAGCAAGGAAATCAAGACATGGACGAAAAGCTTCAAGAAAGAAATGTTCCTCATCATTGAGACCTCAAAGAGCTGCTGCACGTAATGCTCTTAGTCTATTTTCTAAGATTACTGGAAGATCTGCAGATGGAGAAGATGAAGATGGATCGGAAGATGATATGTCAGGAAGTGAATCCCCATTTCAAGATTCCAACATTGAGAGTGATGAATCTGATAAACAAAATCAGCAAGGCAAGCATTCGAAAGGAAAAGAGGTTTTAATCGATGAGTCTGAAGACATGGTTAAACCTTTTGAAGAGTTTCCAGTAAATACTGGGAGCAGGAGGAGATTGGTGCTTAAATTACCAAGACGGGAGTCAAATAAGCTTGTGTCTAGAGAAAGCACAGTAAATAATCGTAGTAATGAGGGTGATTTGGTTGACCAATCATATAGAGTACCTCAAGAAGCAAATGAGAATAACACTAGTCCTCAGGATCCAATGTCCTCCCCAGGTGACGAAAAATGCAGCAAATTTGAAACAGCAGTGAGTGGGCAGTCACAGAGAGTAAAAAATCATTTAAATTTCAAAGGGAGAATTAGTTGGGGAGGGTCCAGAGCACGAACAACAAAGCGCCAGAGATCAGGAGAATTCATGTCATTGGATGCACTTGCCAGAGCCAGTGCAGTTGTTGGTCACAATGAAAAAGACTACACAAAACCTGAAAATGATTCTCCTCATTCAGAAAGCCAAAGGTTCAGGGATAAGATGGACACAGTGGCTATAGGGAATGAGAAAACCACTAGGGCTAGTACCTCCGATGGCCTTAATGGTGAAGTCAATGTTAAAGAGCATTCAGATTTTAGTGAATGCAAGGATCACGATCAATTGCCTAAATCTGTTCACATGGCTCCTTGGGATGCAAGCACTTCCTTTTGCCTTGATAAGGACGGGACTGGTTTCTCTTTTGAACAAAATGAGAAGCTCTTACCTGTCTCAACGAAATTAAGGTCGAGGAGGATTTCAAGGGATCCTAGTCCTTGCAAACAGGAAATTGACTCTGTGGTAGAGAACATGGAAAATGGTAGGACGATGGAACAGGGTCCAGTTGTGCCAGAGGATGATGGAACCCATAAATTTATTCCAGATCATAGATATGATGGTTCACGAGAATCAGACAATCAATCTGATAAGAATGTTATTGCTAGCACACATGAATCTGTCGAATCCAGTTTACAAAAAAACAAAATGTTCAGTGCTGTTTATAGAAGGGTGAAACCACATAGGGGTAGAAGTAACTTAGAAGGTGATAGTGGTGTCAATGGAGAAGGCTGTTCATATACTTCAAATACAAGCAACCACAATATCATTGCTGGAGACATTCAGGATGACACAACTGATGGAGGATGCAAGACACGGTCCATGGGGTTGAAGGCATCTGCATGTGATCCAAGTAGTCCAGATCATGATCCTAAGTTAGCGGAAGGACATGAGCCAGGTTATACATTGAACTGGATAAGTTCCATGGATAAGTTTCAACTTGGGAATGAAGAACGGGGATCAAGTTCAAGGACGAAAGTTGGTTTGAGGTCTACTAGAAACAGGAGAAGCAGTTATCTTGACATGAGTCCAATGGATAAAAGGAAGCCGCATCAGTCAGGAAAGAAAGTATCATGGTTAATGTTGTCAGCACATGAGGAGAGCTCAAGATATATCCCCCAGTTAGGGGACAAAGTTGTTTATCTGAGACAGGTTTCTCTATATCTTTCTGCTGCCTTTTTTATTTCTTCCATAAGGGTTTTCTTGTTTTGGTTTTGTAATATGAATGTCGATAGTATCATTTACTTTGGTAACCTCCTTTTCTTTTTCCTTTCTTACCAGGGGCATCAGGAGTATTTCGATCTGGGTGGATTGAGAGAAAACCCACCATGGAGGTTTATAAAGGGGAGAATAAGGGCTGTCGAATTTTGCAATGTCCAAGACCTAGAGTATTCTTCACGTGCAGGGTCTGGGGATAGCTGCTGTAAATTGACGATTCAATTTGTAGATCCTTCTTCTGATGTGTATGGTAAATCTTTTAAGATGACTCTGCCGGAAGTTACTGGTTTCCCAGACTTCATTGTTGAAAGAACTCGCTTTGACTCTTCCATGGAGAGAAATTGGTCGTGTAGGGATCATTGCAAAGTCTGGTGGAAAAATGAGGGCGAGGATGACGGTAAGTGGTGGCATGGCAGGGTTAAGTCTAAACAGTTTAAATCATCAGAGTTCCCAGACAGTCCTTGGGAGATGTACACTGTTCAGTACAAGAGTGATCCTAGTGATGCACAACTACATAGTCCTTGGGAGCTTTTTGATGAAAATACTCAATGGGAGCCGCCTCGCATTGATGATAAAAGCAAAACGAAGCTGCATTCGGCCTTTGCCAAACTAGAGCGATCAGCTGGAAGTCGTCAGGTATTAAGGAGAAAATACCTTTTACTTTTAATAACTCAAAAACAAAATTTGGCCAATGGTCCCATCTAGCAAACTCTTTGAAGACTCACAAGGATTTTTCTCAATATTGTTGTGCATAATTCAGGATCCTTTTGGGGTTGACAAACTGGTGCAACTTCAACAGAAGCCAAAGTTTACAAACTGGTATGTCTTCATTATTCTTATAGCGTTCCTCGAATGTATCATTGGATTTCCATGTCGTGCATGCTCTGTCCGTCAAACTATTTGTGATGGAACTTGTTTTTCTCAAATGCTATCTGGGTGTTGACATGTAGTCTTGTCTTACGGAATGCTCTCAGGTGTGTGGTTCCGATATCTCTTGATGTGATCCAGTCTAGGTTAGAGAACGACTACTATCGAAGCCTGGAAGCGCTGAAGCATGACTTTAAGGTCATGCTGGCAAATGCTGAAACCTATCTCGAGAGCAACGCGGTCAAACGCGCGTCAGATAAAGAGCTTTTAGGGAAATTGAAATGCCTATCAGACTGGTTCACACAGACAATATCATCCTTGTAGCTCCCATTGATTTGTAAAGAAGTTGAGTCACTAATGAGGTTGACGCAGCCCATCTTGATTTTTACTTCAGTTTTTTAACCCCTTCTATTCTTTCTTCCTGCGTTTTAGTTTTATTTTTTAGGTATTTTACCATTATATCCTCGAGGATTTTACCATTGTACCATTGCTTCAATTTTGGAGATGGGTGAAATCCTTTGGGGTATTCTGTTTACGAGGGAAGTTGAGATCTGCTTGTGTAAATTTTTTTACTGGATACATTCTTGTAAAGACATTCGTTTTTATTTAATCACTAATAACGAAAGGAAAAAAAAAAAGCTTGTGATTTTCACACCCTATTTTTTCGGTCGCTCTTTGTTTTCTTGCAATATACTTTGATTTATTTAAAGATGGGAGTGCGAAAATCACTTCCCTTTCAATACTTGTATCCACGGCGGGTTTCACCATTCCCGGCCCAGGATTTCTCCTAAAAAATGGCCTTGCCTGTTACCCATTGTGATTCAAAATTGCATGGAAGCAAAGTATTGTGGCAGAAACAAAAGTAATTTTTGAATCCACGCCAAATTGGATGTCAAAGGATAGTCTAAACAAATGCGGCAGTGTTTTCAACACAAGTCTTTCGAACTAATCTCCATCCTACAGTCACATTTTTTGGGAACAACAGCTGTTTCCGGTAGAACGAAAACTGAGCGGATAAAGAGGTGGGCGTGAATCTTAGTCTCTCCACCTATGGCCGCAGCTGGGGTTGCAGCAGACGAAGAACAATGTCATACCCTCCTCTCCTCTAGCAGTTGCCTGCACATATAACTTAAAGCATTAGCAGCAGTTACAAATCTCCATCATATAGAGTAAACAAACAGCTATCAGGTGCAAGTTTATTGCACATGACTTCAATCTGACTGTTCAACATGGTATCACTGTATGCATGGTAGTGAACATATACCCCCCAGAGACGAAAAGAATCCGACTTCCCAACAATACAATGGTGGATATTTGCTCAAAACAGAACGATGTTTCAATACAAAGTGGCCTACCAATCTCTCTAGAATAAATAACACAAGAACTCGGGCTGAATACAAGTTAAGCGTCTCCTAGGAGAATCCATAATCATGGTCACTAATTTTAATAGATACTTGGTTAAATAGTCAACTGAAATCTGAAGCGAAAAGCAAGAAGCAATGATACATGAAGAGCTAGAAGTTTACAAACACCAGAAAAAATCTTTAACCCTGATGCCTTTCTAGAGTTATCTTAAACTATACTAATAGCAAAACCGGCCCTAGCGACATGAATCCAATTGTCTAATGATAAAGAGATTAGCAGTTGAAATTTCATCCAAACAAGTGACGACTTGGAATATTTATGTGACATTAAAATAATTAGCATTGTGCTCTTGAACACCAAAAGTTTGAAAGGCAACTACCAATAAAATTCACCACAACAGATAGAGGATTGGGCATATAACCTGAAAGAAAACAGCTTCTCCATGCTTGCACTCAGCACAGCGCACGGCTTTAGTTCTTGGAAGAGTAGGATCTGCAGCTACATCCTGCAATATCTGAGTGCGCTCACCAACAGCGTGGTGTATCTCGTTTCTGTAGACACAGTTGGTCTCAGCAATCTCCTGCAAACAAAGAATAACATAAAATCTATTAAGTACATAACACAGTCCCTATCAACCCTGAGAATTAAGTGGTAACGGAATTTATAAGTTAAGAGAATAAGTTCATAAGAACAAACAGAGACTGAGTATGAATTATCAGATTTTTGTTTCACTTTCCGGGCATGAACATTTCGGGATCTAGCAAAAACCTTTAAAGAAGAAAGTAATAGCAAAAAGGAAAGAAATTGAGAACCCTAACTGAATTCCAAAATGTGGGTATCAGAATGGTCTACATTTGTAAAAAGACAGAAAATTTTGATGCAATTCACTCAAAAGAAACCAAGAAAAAAATTCCATCCTTGTACCAAGCTTCAGTAAAGGCCAGATTAACCTCGGGTTATGGAAATTAATTATCTTAAACCTAATTAACCAAATGAGATTACGAGGCATTAGGGCAAACCACTTACCGCAGGACTAAAATGAAACAAATCATGCAAAATAATTGCTAAAGAAAATAAAATCAAGGGGAAGCGAGATGAAGAGTGTGAGCTGACCTGGTGATCGCAGTTGCGGCAGGCGTAGAGGAGCGTCTTCTGCTCCTTATCCTCCTTCGGGTACAGAATGTTGTTACTGAAAACCCAATTGAAAATTTCAGAAGAAAAAATTCAAAAAAAAAAAAAAATGAAAAGTTAAAATACAGTGTGGTGGGATTTGCAGACCATTCGCGGCAAAATTTCATGGTACTCATTGTGGAGAAGCTCTGAGTGTTTAGGGTTCGGAGAGTTTGATTTTTTGCTTTTGGCGAAAGGCGGGTTTTCTGCTATTTCTTCTTCTTCTTCTTAATACCAGATGTTATAACTCCTCTGCTTCGGTCTTGACCCTTATTCTCAAGAATGTTTAAGGGTATTTTCGGTAAACTGCAAACTTAGAGGCCTAAGCAATAAGGCCTTTAGCACCTGCAAATGAAGGCCCAAAGGCCCAACATTTTTATTGTTTTTATCTATTTATTTATTTATTTTGTTGATAGAGATGATATATTTACACGAGTAGGAGATTCGATTCTAAAACCTCTAGGTAATTCGGCAAATTAACCAGAGCACTGTGCCCATAAACAGAATCCAAGTTCAAGTTTCTATCCTCATGTATAATATTAGAGTAATTTGATGTGTCAAATTATCGTTTTCTTTCTAAAACATCACGTTAGTGCTTGTTTTATCACAAAAAATTCTGAACTATCATTTCCCTCTCGATCTGCATTCCAATCATCAAGAACTAAGCCTTTCAAAGCTTATCAATCAAGAATGGAAAGAACTGTTAATCCAATCTGTTAGTAACCAATTGTATCTCTTTATGTGTCTCTCACACCACGTGATGCGAGAAATAAACACAAACAGCTATACAACCGTGAACAGCTAAGAATTTGCTCGATGAAAAGCCATCAAGAATCATGGTCCTCTCAGAAAGGATTATCAACCGATATGAAACAAACTCATTTGGGCATAAGCCAATAGCCAGTTACAATCAACTCACTCTCGGAAAGATACTAAATATGCATCAGTTGGCTTCCACTGTATGACCAACTTTTTTGAAGAACAATTCAAGAGCGAAAACAAAGAAATCCTTCGTCTAGGAAGCCTTAAAATCACAACCTAATTTAACATTACACATGTTGAACCAAATACACGACCGCTCTCCACTACGCTCGACCACCTCGTTTAATGCTTTCTGCTGTGCCTCGTGCTCTTCTTCCGGCTCCTCCTATCATCAGAATCAGATTCGGAAGCTGACTCAGAATCAGTTGATTCAGATGATGAGCTGTGCCTTCTTCTACGCCTTGCCATCTTTTGCTTCTTCTTCCTTCGGTGCCTCCTCTCCTCCTCTGAGTCAGTAGATGAGCTGTAATCTGAGCTACTCTCCTCCGAAGAATATTCAGATCCTGTAACTGATGACGCACCACTATCAGTCTCGAAAACTGATGCCTCGCTATCACTTCCAGAATCAGAGGCTGAGCGATGCTTTCTCTTGCTTTTCTGTGACTGCTTTTCTTCCTTCTCTTCCTTAATTTCTGGATTGTCCAAATCATATGATATTTCAACCTTCATCTTCAGTTTAGGATTTTTGAGTTGCTGGGTCCTAGACGGTCTCGAGATGTAAACACGTTCATTCTTGCATTCATATGTCCAATGCCCGGGTTGGTAACACTTCTGGCATTGTGAAGCTGCACCACCAACGGTAGATACATTTGACTTTAGGTCTTTCCGTTCACCCAATCTCACAGCTTTTTCAGTACTCATCAAATACATCTGTCTCTTGGCTTCCCTTTTCTCCTGCCATCTGCTGGGTCCTTCTTCCTTCTGCCCATAAGCATTAACATTCCGAGCAGCTGCAGCAGCTGCCCTTTCAGCCTGAGCTCGACTAAGACCTTTTGCAGCACTCAAGGCTGCTGCCTTGATCCTTTCAGCCGCAGCTTGAGCTTTCTCTTCTTTCTTACTCGACATGTTCTAAATCACAATGTTCAAATCAGAATACAAGCAATTGAATGCCAAAGGCCTGAAGTTCCAAGGCAATCACTGCCACAATCTCCAAATGCTCTCAGACCCTGCATTTAAATGGTAATTAGGTCAATCACATTCATTGAATATCGCCATGTTCCGGTCAATAAAGTAAAAAACTCCCATTTTTCAGTAAAAATCAAGAACGAAAAGGGAAAAAAAGCCAAAAGCAAAAACATTTAAATCAACTAGCTTTAAAAAACATGTGAAACGTACAGGTTGAAGTATTAAAACCGACCAAAATGACCAACTTTGTATGGCTGGAAGAAGTTTCAAACTCCCCAATCAATCAAAACGAAACATAAGAAAGATTTCTCTCACATACATAAAATCTACCAAAATAGAACTAAAACTTACAAGCTGGTAATCTATCAGCAATAAGCATACAAAAGTTACACAAGACCTCCCTGTAAAAAGAAGGGCTGATAAATCTACAAGAATCATCAGATCACAAATTTAACTGGAAAAAAAAAACATATTCGAACATTAAATATTTGAGCATCAATACCTTTGTATAAACAAAACAACAACAAAAACAAGACCTAGTACATGAAAAAATTTCTTGGCTCAATTTCTTCAACTTACTTATTCGTTCCTCAGCGTCATCGGTTTTATTCACAATGTAACCTACAACTAAGCATTTTCTTCAACAAGACTATCAATCTAACCTAGTTTTTGTTAGGATGTCGAGTGGCATCACTTAGTTAGCCCAGGTGTCTCAATTGCTGAGTTGGAGATCTTTAGCCTGCAACCAGCTATGTAAGCTGAGATATGTGCAGATGCAAAGTGTGAGTGAATATTTGATTGTAGTAGTGTTTTTGTTAATATCTTTTACATTTGGGTAAGGCTGTTCAAACAATTTTGAGTCAGAAAAACTGCAATCTAAACCCTTTTCCCCCCTCAAACTATTAAGGCCGATAAGTTCAAGCAACATCGAAATTACAGCAATACTTGTACCAAAAGACCCAAAATTTACCTAAATTCACACATCCAAGAACCCAAAACAATTAAAAAGGCATTCTTTCCCTACCGATCTACTAGAAATCAGTTGCAGAGGCAGAGATTAGAGCAATTATTTAAACAATAGCATAGAGAAAATAAAAAAACCCCAGAAATTTGAGAGGAGGCTTACCTTCTTCGGGTCGGGTATCGGTGAGGGAACTTGAATTAGGGCAGAGAGGCAAATCTGGTTTTTGGGGGAAAGGGGTGGTTCTTGGCCTTTAATTTAGATTTACTATTAGGCGGCTGCGGCTCCATAGAGAAAAGCGGTCCTTTTTTCTTTATGTTAACGCGCAAAATTTGATTTTGACGTCATAAACCGATATGTGATTTGCTACCCTTTTCTTGTTTGGTTTGGAGACATTAAACTTATGAGAGGTAGTTCTGCGATCGATTCATGATGCTTGTAAATCATGTGAAAGTGAGTTCATCTCCAACCAAACGTATTATGTTTAGCCCATATTTAGATTATTGTTCTGTTACAAATTATTCGAAGAGAGCTATTTTTTAGTCTCCTCAATAATTCATTATTTTAAGTTTGTTCTTTAATTTTATTAGTTAATTGAATTAAGCTAACATATTAAAATCAGGTTTCCGACATATTTTGAGTGCCATTTGAAAATTATTTAAAAAATTACAGGAAAGATTATTAGAAGAGATAAAAGAAGGGTGTGTATGAAAAGAGTGTTTGAGATCAATAGAATACGAAGAATTAAAATAAAATAAAGTAAGATAATATAGAAGGGTGAAAATGATGTGAGAAACAGTGTAGAAATGTCTTAAGTATTTATAGGACAAAATTAGAAATTTTAATTTATTTTTTTAAACTTCGTCTAAGAAAAAAAAATTAAAAAGCAGCTGGGCCCAACTGAACAAGTTGGCTGGTTGGCTAAGGATGTCCAGCTCGCTAATCATATGACTGGATTTTGATCCGGTGGGTCCCAAGGTTTTTCACTCATACCTTCATTGAAAATGGATTTTGTCAAAAAAAAGATTATCCTGGGCTTTATGACCCTATGGCCGGCCCGATTTGAGATGACACGATAGAGAGGCTAAAATGCCTTTGCTCCCAGCAAAGTGAATTGTCGCGACTTGACCACCAGCTGGTCGCATTAAAAAAAACAAAAGAAGCTACGTGAGTGGGTTGCCAATATTGCAATGCAAGAAATAAAATTTATCAATTTGTTTACCATACATTGGACTATATTTTTTTACAGGTGTTGGAGGATGTCATAAATTTGAATCCTATGATTGGTCTGTCTATAATAAACATAAAGGAAAATAAAGGTTTAGCTATGGTTTGCATTGTGGTTTAAGTGGAATAATGTCTAATACGTAATGAGAAGAAAAACCCTTAAAATTCAAATAATGACGAATAATGACTTGTATGACATTAGTACAATGGAGTCGCAACGTCTAAAAACTTGCCGATAACCAAAATGAACCTTCAATAACCAACCATCTAAAACATCTGGAAATCTCGATACTAAACCAGTGAAGTTTACGCATCCAGAATGAACAGAGGGCAACATTATAGATGGTGAAAGCAAAACCCTAACCACAAGTTCCTTAAAACAAGAGAGAGATGGGGCAAGTCACATCCCTGCATTATCAAAAAGAAGGCTTTCTGTGGGACTACATATGAATATGACCCCAACCAGCAGCCTAAAATATCCCAGAAAGAAGATTTGCAGCGGTGGATATGGCAGCTCCGGTGATGGCGCCTTGCACTATCTGCTCATGGGACGAACCCTCCGATGTGAGTGCCAGGGCAACGCCTGTAATCGCTCCCGCAAGTGCACTGTTTTTCTGCACCAAGGAACCAAGCAATAACGGCTTTAAGCACCATACAAGTAGCAAGCTCTTAGTAATGCTGCAGCATTCAATCCATGACAGAAGATAATCAAGCATTACCCAATCGTGAGCTCCACGAGCCTCTGCCAGGCCATATGTAAGACCCGAATACACCCCCGCAGCCAGCCCTGAGAAATAAAATAAGTCAACTTCCTTCAAATCCCAGTGGTACATGACACTGTTTCCAAACCGCGCATACATAGTTGTAAGCAGGAAAAACTGAAACCTATAGCTTGCAAACTGATGCATTTCATGTTTGCAATTTGATTTAGAAGATGTGCTTACCCCATTGTAATGATTCCTTTCCTGTATTCTTCACCTGGAAAACATTGTGACGATCAATCAGTGACTACTAACTGCATCACGACTTTGCTAGAGCTCATTCAATAATCCGAAGAAGTACATAAATTATCAAATGGCAGACAAGCCAGAAAGCTCCAATGCAGATAAGGCCAGACAGCCGCAAGAGAATTCAATTATTTATGGATCAATTTGTGGTGGTTCATTAAAGAGGTATAACATTAGAGCACCTCAATATATAATTGATTGGTAATTTGAGGGCAACGACGAAATGCAATCTTGGTAATTGGAATTATATGCTTGATTGCTAGTTTTCTACTCACCATAGCTTCAAGAGATTTTCTGTTGTTTTCACCTGCAAAGCACATAACAGCCGCTTGAGACACAACCAATTGTTCAATATACCAACAACTGAGCAAGCACATACGTAATATTACAAGGGGTTCTCTCGTAATCTACATCCGTGGTTTTGTAGTCGGGCGGGCATACTACATCAATAAAAGTTATAAAAATAACTATGGAGTGGCTAGCTGCATATATACCTCTGAGGTCAGGGAAGCGTTGCCTTTTGTTGCCTGGAACTGAGATTTCGGGCGGAATACCATTTGTACTTGAATCGAATCCTGCACATTATAATGAACATGTATACGTAGTACGTACGCATCAACAATTGTCTGTCTCTTTAGATAGACAACATTAATTATATGCAGATAGCTCAAATCCCAAACATGATTTGTCCCATCAAGTTATTCAGATAATTAAAATTTAAACGAATACTTGTAGATCCATACATATACATACGTACGTATGTAAAAACCAAGAAATTCCAAAGTAGAAGGAAACAGAGAGATTATTTAGTTATTACCTTCAGTGGCTATGAAATAAGCCTCGCGCGACACAGCCTGAATAGCTCCGATCTGTCCATTGCAGCAACACAACCTTATTAACGAAATGCTCATATATTTTGGACGTACAGTTGTTAACACAAGGCACACGGACACATACAGAGAGAGAGAGAGAGAGTGTGTGTGTGCGTGTGTGTGCGCGTGAAGAATGGAAGGGTAAGGAGAGGAGAGGATACCCCAGCAGCCTTGACGAAGCTCTCGGCGATGCGGTTGAGGAGAGGGTGGCCGAGGTCGAAGATGCCGCTCTTGTCGAAGCTGCGCAGCTCCTGCAGCAACGACGGCTTTGTTTCCAAACTAGTGCTGCTGGTCGTGTTCAACATATCTTAACACTGCTTCAGTATTACTTGTTCGATATCGTAAAAGTTCGAGGTTATACTGCTGTGATGAGTGATGAGAATAAAGCGGGGAACAAGTAGAAAATGAGGCAAGAAGGTACGAGGAAGACACGTGCTCATGCAACGCTACGTACGTGTCTTTCTCCTGCGAACTTCGGGGCGACTTGTTCCAACTGTTTGCCATCTGTCCCCTATTAACCTGCCTCACAAACAAACACTACGGCAATGAGTCTGGACTGATCTGCTGGACAGGAAGAGGATCCTCTCAGGATTCATTTTGTGAGGATCTTAAAGATCTTCAAATCTTAGTTGTTTATCTAAATTGTGCAATCAATTTTTATCAGATACTATTTGTGTTTAATTTTAAATTAAAAAAAATCAAATGATTTCTAACTGCACGATACACGATAAATTGCTAAAATATGAGGATCTCTAGAATCCTCACAATTTGAATTCAGATGGGATCCAAATCCTGCTGGACAAACAACAGACTGGAGTTAGAATATCAAATGCATCTCAAATTTTCATCACTACCCTAAACTCCATCTATCACCTTCCAACATAACATTCTTGACTTTAGATTCTGGTATTCGTTAGTGAAATTTAGAATTTGTCACTCGACTGGAGCAGATAACCAAACATCACAATTCGACGTTTTCACTTGGCCCCGGAATCGTAAACGAATTCGATTCGTCTCCTTTTAAGTTGGGCAATAAAGGTCGGAAAAAAGGCAAACACTCATTCTTAAAACCAGCATTTTTAAGATCAACAGGTTGGTATTTTTTTCTTGCAATGGAGGTGGGATACCAACAAATCAAAATTTACTAGACTTTCTTTGGGGTTGCATGTTATTAAAGGTAGAAATCATTCCATAAGTTATCTTGGATAATTCTAAAAACTCTAGCAATTTACAGCGAGTGAAAAATGAAAATTTCACTCCCTACCGAATACTGAAAAACCCCAACTCTCTCTCTTACAAGTTACAACCAACCCCCACCCCCACCATAAAAATACTTTTGGCATTAGAGGGCACAATCCCATCCAACACAGGGCTCTTATAATTTGGTGCCCTTTCTAATTTCTATCACAACCAAAAAAAAAAATTCCCACTAAGTAGAATCGGCTATATGAATCCTAGAACGTCATTGCGCTCGGTTCTATGTCAAAAAATATAAGGAACAAATCGAACAAAACACAAAACTTGAGATGAAAGGCAAAGAAAAAAAAAGAGAAAATTGGATATAGAGAAACCAATGCTGATGAATGTTTTACAAAAACCCAAATACTTCAAAAACCCCAATAAGGCCAAATGAAGAGTTGATGATAGGCTTGGCCCCCCACATTGTGACTATTGACTTCCTTTTTCTTTCCGCGTCGCAGTGGCACTATACAGTATGCACTCCTACCATCGTCGATGGAAGCCATAGACCAAATTCATCCTCTCTTCTCTGTCGATTCACTTCCTCTCTTCCAAATGAATGCTCATCCGCGGCCGGGCACCGCTTTCTGGCACCAAGCACGCATTCACGAGTTGCATAAACAACACAAAGCAGTAACCCCGTTAGCTAAATATAACTTACGACCCATTTACAGCCATTTCCGGTGAAGATTTTGGTGGTATCAACGGGCAGTCCTCTCCACCCAACTGTCTATCATCCGGTGTGCCATGCAAGTGATCCGAGCAGCCTCTAGAAGTAGTAGGCTCATTTTCCCTATTGTCAGCATCATCGCAACTGTTGTTCTCAGAACAGCTCTTAGAAATAGCATGCTCATCATTCTCTTGATTTTTCCCTTCACCTGAGTTGTTGACCCCCTCAGCTATGCGAGTTGTATGCATACTGCTTGCAATTTTCTTATTCGGTAGCACTGCCTGGCTTAGAGTTGTACACAAAGCAGCAAACACACTTTCTTTTGGCTTGGAGTTTTTACCCAACCTTTGCCTCTTTGCTAGCTCGGTCTCCCTATCCTTAGAAGCCAATTTCCGCTTCAACCTAAGGGACTCCATTGTTCCTTCCTCTTCATCAGAAGGTTCAGGATGTTTCTTGGGCGGTGGCTTGTAGTCTTCGTCGTCCTCATCGTCATCATAATCCACCAGCCCAACAGACCTTGGACTACAAAAATCAATATGAACATATGGGCCGTATAGCCAAAAATATTCTGAAAGTGCACTCTGATAAATCTACACTAGAAGAGTATAATACCTGGATGGTGGATAACTTGCAGCAACTCCATTGGATAAAACAGGTTGCGGTTGGGCCTGTACTTTTTGGGTATTTGGCATGGATGCAGATGCTGTATCTTCTTCATCACTGATTACCAAGTTCCATCATATTCAGTGGCTATTGGTAACAAAGTAGCGGGAAAGAGCACTATCAATACACGATAAACGTTCAACACAAAGACATACCTGTCCTCGTTGAAATACTCTTCTTCTTCTTTCTCCAAAGCACGCTCATCATTTCGTTTTCTAGGGTCTGACACATTAGCCGTGCCTTTGGTTCCAAAATGTTCTAGGCACTGCAAAAGCACGTGTCAAATACAAAAGCTCCAAATTTAGGAGTGGAGAAAATATCGGAGCATAGTACCTGCTCATATTTTACTTTGAGGGAGTGAACCGAAGCAAAATTCTCAAATCTGACCAACTGATCCCAGAATGAATCAACCAAGTATTTAACCAACGACTTCAAGTTTTCCTGGAAAAAGAGAAACACAAATGAGATGATACCTTCAAGACATACTTTAGCTCCAGAAACTGTGTCTAAAAGAGAGTAGCACCTTCCGGATGAACTCAAAAAGTTCTAAAACAGCCGAGTTCAGCAGGTTATATCGATTTCCATTACCAACAAATGCATTGACAATTGGCTTCAGAAGGTTGTTCTTAACAATATGATTTATCAGATGCTCATCCTGCAGAATCATGCATTGCCCAATTATTACATGAACAACTTAGCCCAAAAAGAAAAGAAAGATTGCATACTTAACATATCAGAGCAGGTAGAGAGAGTCTATACGTACAACAGGGCACAAAGATGATAATAAACATTCTTATATGTACTATGGAAGCTGAAAAAGTTGCGCAGACCAAGAACCTTTTTGAAATATAACATTCTTTTTATCCAGATTTCCCACTACAATCATACTGATGAGAAATTCTCACTATGAAACCACCATTCTCAAATCTGAACAAGCTATACTGTCACGACATATTGACTTCTAGTCTTGCATGGCAAATCGCTCATCTTAACCTCACTTTTGTTGAAGCACACGACATGATATACTTTAAATTTTCATGCAAATTTTTTTCAGTTTCTGCTATTGATAATTGGTCCAAAACAACAAAAATGATCACCTCCAGATCATTTCGATCTCTTTGGGATTTTAGCTGAGCTCAAGGATAAATAAAACTTTTATTAATCAACATAAACTCACGTGACGTGAAAGAATAGTGCGAACAAATCGAACTGCAGCAACAACTAAATACTTTTCTCTTCTTTGTGTAACCAACAAAACTTTATCCATCACATTACTAAGCAGAAAGTTACACCTGCAAGTGACAAAAACCCAAACATTCCAATGTCAAGGGTCAGCAGCAGAAATCCATTTATGAAAATTGTACAAGGAGCCAAAATATTACTTTATTCTGAATGGATGGTGAAGGACACAAAAACAAAGCAATTCGCATATATTTGATAATATTTCAGGCTTCGCAACACTCTGACTTTCACCTCTTCCACCAGAGATAGAAGATTTATCAAATGATTGACCATTGCCTTCCAAAGAACATGACGCTGTTATAACATCAATTAACTGCCCCAGATGCTTCTCATAGAATATCTCGATAATTGCATCTCTCTGTAGCAAAATCAAATGGGATAAAAAAAAGAAACTCAATAACCAACCCATGCAGTACAAGTATAAAAATGAGGCATTGGAAATTTTTTTTTTCTTACATGCAAGTTTTACCGACATGATATAATAAACTACAAACCAACATTCAAATTGTTACACCCACAGAAATAAACCGTATTGCAAACTCCATGAAAAGCTTCCATATATGAAACTTCTGAATTTGTGATAATAAAAAAAATTCATCATACTCTAAATGAAAGAACAATCCAAAGAATTATGAGATGGACTAGAACAAAATTGGCCACAGAAAGTAACTTCAGTAAACAAGGGCGGAAAATCGTTAAAAGGAAAAAACAATGACCTGGCCCAAGTAAAACGGCAAACAAAACAATAAAGTAATCAAATCAACAAGATCTACAATTGACCATATCCCTAGAAGGCATAAAGCCTCTTGTTATTTTCTGATATTATTGATAAGTATTAAAATTATACGTATAATATGCAAGGGAATATGATTATTTAAGAGCTAGAGAATATAACGAAAAAGCTCATAATAAAAGCTCCTAAAAGAGGGGAAAAAATTAAAAAAAAAAGCAATTAACATACCACAAATGGTGTCAACATGTGCACCAACTTCTTAAGTAAATATTACATGTACATATATGCACACAAGTACAAAGAGAAATACATAATTATACAAGTGCATATTTGTTATGCCCCTCTAACCTAAGTGGACCTACTGGTGTAGCGCCATTGGTAAATAATTAAGAGGGAGTAGTTGCAGTTCAAGAATGAAAAAAAGTATACATACTATAGGACAACAGAGAAGAAGAAAGATGATATCCACAGAAAACTATTAAATTTAAGGAGGCTATAGGTGAGTCCTACGAAGAGCGACAGTGACATAATACATTTAGCAAACAAATGTCTAGAGTAGATACCTGAGCTCCTGACAATGTGTATGAATCTAGTAGACTACGAAGAATTTCAAGAAACTGGCAGTGCATGTCCTCTCCGAAATCTGTAATCATTCCTTTAACCTGTAAGTAGACAATTAAATATCAATATTGATAGAGATAAGTAAAACACTTGCATCAGGATTTATAAATTTTAAATGACTGGGACCAGTGTGGTCAACTAAACTGGAAGTAGCCAAAGACAGTCAATGTCTTTTCCATGCTGGATGCTTATATGCAGACATCAGATTATACATATTATGAGTGTGGGGAAAACAACTAGATTCCTTTTAGATACAGTTGCTATGTCATTTCACCTAATATCAGTTCTAAAAATGCAGACATCAGATTATACATATTATGAGTGTGGGGAAAACAACTAGATTCCTTTTAGATACGGTTGCTATGTCTATTCACCTAATATCAGTTCTAAAAATCTAATACAAATATAGGCAATCCCCAATGTAATCACAAGTATAACCTGTTGCTTGCCTAATTAGGTGGTTTCTCCTTCTGTTATTAAACATAAACACACATATTGTAGTCGATTGTAATTTCGCCTCACAGGCCATAATCATGTCATCGATACGACATTGAAACTGAATAATTCACTATAAGATTTCTTTGAAGATCAACTAAGACAGGTGAAGGTTATTGTCCATGTCCATTCATAGACAAAAAATAATTTGGAAAAGTGCATACCAAGAGTCCAAAAAGTAGAGCTCCTTCCTGACGAACAACATATGAACGCAGAAGGTTTGGATCCTGATTCATGAAAAGACTCAGGATATCTGTCCTGCATCCATTATAATCACCAATTGTTAGGATTATGACACAAGGGAAAAAAACTGAGAGAGACGCAGCAAAGTAAATACAAAATACAGATTCCTAAACATCTGATTACCCAGTTAATACAAGCTTTTTGTCTTCACTCTGCAACACATCAGTTACAATGTCAAAGATTCCTTCATTCATGAGATCCCTACAGACATTCAGCATTTCACACTTTAAAACAAAGACATCTTAAAAGAAATATTTTTAGCTAACAACCATAACATAAGTAACCAAAATTTAAAAAACCAACGGAGAGTTACAAAACATAATAGCAGGTAAAGAAATGTAACTTCAGGATTTTTTTTACCTAAATAGCCGAAGCTGCTGGACCATCTGCAGGCTTTTGCTTAAACTACAAAACTCGTGCAAGAAATATACCTACAATGCAAAGGGAATGATAAGCACAATCAATTCTGAGTGACGTCAAGAAAACTAACCAGAGAAATGCAGCCACAAATTCTAAGGTCACTATCATTACTATGGTCATATTAAAATGCGGTAAAGTTACAGGTGCTGACATTAAGAAAATAAAAATAACCACCATAAGACTTTTTATCAGCGTTAGAGACATTAATAAATATTTCTAAATAAATTGGAGGAAAAAGAAAATCAAAAGAGAAATTACAAGATGTAAAAATCTAGTTAAATATTCAAGATTCCCTTTGAGAACTGCATTGCATCAATATCATGCTGCAGAAGTCAGAAATACAATGAAAAACCACCTATGGAAATCAAATTACCAAATTCTTTTTAGATTCCGCAGAGGTGGATGGCGACCGTAATCTAGCAAACAATTCTTGAATAAAGGTACTGTCATCCTTTAGCAAAGAAACAACCTAAAACAAAATAGGAACATCAGAATTAATATAACGTAAAGCCCAACATGTTCAAAGAAGAGTTGTAAAATCTTACGACAGCGTTGTTTGCATGAATAATGGAATTGAGATTTGCAACTGTGGCCTCATCCAGAACTCTAGCCAAAACAACATCCTAAAGAAGTAGTCGAAAGTAAGAATTGCAACTGAAGTGGTAGGAAAAACAAAAAGGTTAAACAGAAAACAGGCAAACCTTTAAATATCCAACTTTATACGTCTGGTGTATCTTTGACAACACAATAGCATCTTTAATCGGTATGGCCTGTGCAAAATTAAATTGTCAATCCAGATTCACAGCAAAGAAAGAACCAACTCGAATATAAATTAAGATGCTATCCAACATCCCTAGTCCTTAGCCCCAAATCCCAACAGCACAAAAATTATTACCTCCTTAAAAACAACATGTTCTTTCAAAAAGTTACGATGACGTTGGACATTAGATAATTCAGGGTCATCTGCAAACCAAAATTCAACATCAATATCAACACAGTACTGAATCATAATGAACTAAGAATCAAATTACCAGGCTACAACTAAATCGCAATCCAAGAACAGAAGGTTATATAAGCGAACAAAAACCAATTACAAACTCACTCTCAAGGGAACCGATAATATCCATGATTAAATCATCACCGAATATTTTCTCAAAGATCTGAGGACTATTCAGCAGAACTGCAGGTAGAAAACAACATATCACTCAATAAAAAGATAGACATGCATTTATGTAGCAGATTCTGAGAGTGAAATACCAAAAAGGAATACTTACTGATCCCCCTTACTATTTTGTATATCATGTGAAGACCATCAACATTTTCTAAGTCTTCACAGATTCTAAATAGGCCCATGAGCTTTCGAAAAAACTCTTGCTGTGTTAAGATTAAAAGACTCGTTAGGAAAAAGCAATATAGTATATACATGAATCAACAAGCTGTTGATGAAGGTTAAAATAATAAACAAATTTTATGATTAAGGATAACATGTTTGGACGTACTTCAACAATTGATTTTTTTTATAAAATAAGAACCATGCTAAATAATTCACTGCACATTTCTTCAGAGATCCACAAAAGTTGTACAAAGCTTACATCAGTCAATATCAATTCTGTAAGTCGCATCTGTTCAGCAATGCCACTCTCAGTCACAGTCTGCAAGACAAAAAATCCACATGATTGTCATCACTTTGCCAGTATGATGAAACGACAATCTCAAAAATTAAATGAAAAGAGAAAAGTAAAAAAGAATAAACAAACATATGAGATGCAAAAGAACTAAACCACCTTAACGATTAAGGGAAGTGTGGATAGCTCAACCGTAGGGAGCTCCCTCAACTCACTGTTTGCACTGTGAAATGTCTCATCTACAGATATCGAAAAGATCGACAATTCATGTCACTGATTTTCAAATAAAAATAAAATTTAAGAACACACAAGCACAATGTAACCAATAATAAATGTCACAAATTGGAATACAGAAAACAATGAAGGTATACATGGACATTATTTAAATTTAAGGAAAATTTATTTTTATTCATATTATTTGAAACAATTTCACTCTTTCTCATACAACAGATATAAGCACTACAATCATAGATAAGAGAATCCATACTATTATTGAAACATACCCTTCCTTCACACAGAAAAGTGGAAATATTAATTCAACCAATGAGCTTTGACTTAACCCAGAATGGCCAGAAGTTGATGAACAAATTCTTTCTTCAGGGATTTAGGTACCTTTAAAAGTTTCATCATGCATTCCTGTGTTCAATATCTTGTTTTAAGGAGCAGATTTGTAGTCTTATAATATAGAGATTGGATGAACCTTATAGGGTTCCACTTCCACAAATACGCAATTCCTATTACACTAGTAAGCTTTCTGAAATTAATGCTTCATGGCAGATAAATCTTTCATCAAGGAAAATATTTGCATGCACTTTTAATTGAAAAATGGAGAGAAAACACAATAAGCGTTCGCTAAGAAGAGGGTTACAGCAGTCACATATCTAAAATGCAAGGAACAGAGAGGGAGTACATTTTGAATCATATTGCAAACACTTACTGCTAAGAGAATTAAAATGTATATTCCTTTGAACGCTGCATATGTGGTCCCTGAATAGATCACATAAAATAATTAGTAACAACTACGTTATCAGGAAAAACAAATGGCAAAAATTAGGTAGTTACCATATGTAAGAGCAGCCTGTAGGCTCCTGAAAACTGAGAGCTAATTCAGTAGAATATTCTGGATCCCTCCATGAGATAATTGTATCTTAACAAGAAAAAAACCCGAACTTCACAATTTAGTATCAACCTAACCACATGAGAATACCATATAATAGTAAAGCAAAATTGTGTCACTTAAAACTTAAAAATACCTTCTTGCTTTCTGTAAATGTCATCCGAGCTGATTCGATGCAGAAGTAATGTCTCATTGTCTTCTTCATCAATAACAAACAAACCCAGCTCTTCTGAACGCTGTGTTACCACAGTTGCATTCAATCAAAATGCAGGGTAAGTTCAGAAATCATTTCCAAGGAAATGTGACTCAAAACAACTAATTCTCACAAATTTACTGTGTCTATCAGATTAACAAATGAATGAGATAAACAAACCTCCATATAGTCAACCGTGACATGACCAGTTCCCTGATCATCCCATTTTCCATCCTCACTCAGACGGTAAACCTTAACACGCTGAGATACGAAAAAGAAAAATTAGACCAACAACTTCAACTACATGCTATATACCAACATCATTAATGCAAATTCAAACTATAAGATGGCCATGGAGCAGATACATAATTTTGGAATCTTAAAAAGTTATGGACATTAACTTTCTTTGATTCCAATATTAGAAGGAAAAAAAGGCATGCTTTCACAATCGTAAACGCAATTTAAGAGGAAACGAAAAGGTAAACACAGGTAACAGACTATTATACGGAACAAAGATGTGAATAAAGTAACATGTTCACATTCAACATAAGAGATCCTCATAAAAATTTAACACACTCATCAACACAAAATTAATTATTGTAATTGAAAGTGTAAATGTACATACTACTTGCTTACAGCTACCTCATGTTATTACACAGACATTATCACAGCAAATCGTGCAAATACGCCACACAAGCAATGCAATGTACCCTAAGTCTCCATAACACTGAGTTGAACACAGCATCTCTCTGCTCACATTTAATACTATTCTTCATTAGAAACGAATAACTAAAAATAATAGCTCAACGTTGATATTAAACCCAGCACATCCTAGTTCTCTAATGGAAATAGCGAGTTTATATAGTGCAAGCATTATGAACTCTCTCTGAAATGGAGAGATAAAGAAACACTCCTCTAAGACCAAATCAATTATCAAGACATTCTTATGATCAGATTAACACTGACAGAAACAGTACAATGCAGGAGCCAAAGAATGAACTACATCTCAGACACACCTGCATAACACTACCACTCCCTTCACCAAAAAGGCTTAACCTGAATTGTAAGTTGTGATGATTTTCCAGAATAACAGTGAAGACGATGAGCATATAGGAGCATTTAGCACAGTGAACTCATTTCTGTTTCAGGAGGATCCTTTTCTATATTTTGATTGTTAGATTTGAATTTTATTAGACATAGTGTTTTTATGAAGTTATAACTGATGTTTTGCATACTGGGCATCTAAGTTTAGATAAATTATTTGCATCACGCCTGCCATGTCATTTCAGAAATTTTTTAAGATTTTCCAAGAAAACATTTCCATATTTGTGTTGGTTCTTAGCACATAAATAAGAAAAAGTCTAATTTTACAATGCCATAAAGAGATAATTACCAAAGTCAAGAGTTTACTGCCTATGTGAGACTCTAAAAACTCGCAAACACATACAAAATATAAAAAAAGTGAGCATAAATCAGAAACAAATAAAGTTAAAGGATATGGTGATAGTCCAACTTTCCACTTTTCTAAACATGATAAATAGGGTTAAGGAATTAAATTTCAATATACCGTCACAAATATTGTCACTTATTAAATGCAGTTGTTGAAGATTAGAAAAAGAAATTGTTAGGGAGCCCACATTATTAATCACGTCATTTGACATCATTTAACTGAAAACAAGGGGTCAATTACGGGAAACATAAAGGTCCCAAAGCTAGGAATCTAGCCCAATGAAATAGGTATTGTAGATGTCATAAAAAAAAAATAGAAAACAACAAATGTCTTAGAACGGTTGTTATTTCACACTACGTCAGCTACCTATCGCCGTACAAGGAAATTTTCTAAGGAAGACCAATACTTCAGCAAAAACAAAATGACAACAATCTTCCAAATTTCACCATTGTCAATATAGAGACAACATCAGTATCAGAAACACCATCACCAAATTAAACTCGGAGCCCACCTTTCAAGTTCCAGAAAGTTAACTAGCTTAGGAATGTGAACTTTTGCATGGAGCTCAAACAAGCTGTGTACAACAGAAGATTTCAAATAAAACACTCAGAAAGTCCCACTAAACTGCTTCCTGTGATAAATAAACTAAACTCATCCTCCTCCAACTTATAAAAAAGCAGTATCAACCATGGAGACTCCAAGCTACAACTCCTGATTATAAAGATAAATTCTACCACATCCCTCGACCCAAAGCAGTACCTTTTTGCACACTTCAAAAACATAGCTTCCCCTCAAATGATCAAAAGATACTTATGCTACTTACCCACACCGCCCAAACAGTAGTTATTCGCCTTTGCAGTGAAGAACACTTTCCTTACTATTAATAGAATAGAAACCCAGTAATGCTAAGAAAGTTAGCCTGTTTACTAACTCTCTTGTTAACCGGTGTCACACACAGTGCAACAGCTCTTAGAGCTCCAACCAGCTAATTTGATATGTACAACACTTTAAAACCTTAGAGAGCTCGAAGAACACAGGCAATATTTATTTTTGCACTGAAACCCTAACGGAAAAGCATTCAAAATGCTAACATTCCCAAACGAATATAATCAGCCTTCCACTCCCACCACCCCCCCCCCCCCCCCAAAAAAAAAAAAAAGGGAATTGAACAGCTAACAAAAGTACGCAGAAAGCAAAACAAAGCATAAAATTGGGAGTGAATAAAATCAAGCTGAAACCTCAAAACCCGCAAATAACAAAGAAACCATTACTCACTGCCATTCTAGGTCAAAGTATCGAGCTTCCTAATTTTGCAGGGAAAGAAAAAGCAAACTCACCTGCATCGAATTCGAATTGACCGGCGCTTTATCTGGCGCGCCCATCGTAGCTCCAAAGTCTGCGATTCGAATTCGGAGCAAAAATTGAATAATTGGGCAAGAGACTGAATCGAACAGGAGAATTGGATTTAAGAAAATGTTAAATTAGGGTTTTGAGGGCGGGGGAAAAGAGAGATTGGGGAGGATAGAGGGGGTGATTAGGGTTCCCGGTGATCAGTAGAAAACCCTAACCGCCATTAACGTAGCAGCGTGACCTTCCGATTTTTCTCGCACTTTCTCTCTCTAGCGCGCTCACTCTCTCTCTCTCCGCTTTTTATTCTTTTGTGCGCAAGTGTCTCGGCCCCCGACCTTCGCCTTCGATAAGAGAAGGAAAGTGGGAAAACTATTACGCATATTGGGATTTTGTGGTGTCCCCGTTATACCCCTGGATTTCGAGTGAAATTACGGGGGAGCCATTGACCGTTGAGTATGTATGGAAGGGTTTGGTACGTATACAGAACAAAATGGGACGTGATGTAATCAGATGGAACGGAGGTTCTATGCTACATTCAGTATGTGGAGGTCAAAATGGGTTATTCTGTTCCATGTTTGGTACGTGCATAACGGAATGAAATTAAAATTTAAATGACCAATGTACTATGTTCTGTCTGTTATTTGGTACAATGTTTATGGAATTTGGTGGAATGGGACGCTTTTTTTTTTATTGTTGATATTTCAATATATATATATATGCTTATTTATAATATATTTGTTAGAGTAACAGTTACGAATATCAATACGTATTTAAAAATGCAATAGGTAACGAAGAATTTTGATATATTGATTACAAAGCAAATCGTGGTTGAAATTGATTGATTGTTAGATCCCACATCACTCAAATGAGTGGATTCTCTATGCCTTATATGTACATGCACACCTCCATATAGCATGAAGCCTTTTGGGAGCTCACTGGCTTCGGAGTTCATCGGAACTCCGAAGTTAAGCGAGTTCGCGCGAGAGCAATTTCAGGATGGGTGACCCACTGTGAAGTTCTTGTATGAGTTCCCATAAACAAAATCATGAGAGTGTGGTCGGGACCCAAAACGAACAATATCGTGTTACGACAAAATCAAACTCGGGTCAGAATGTGACATTGATCTTGTAACCTAATAAAAAGACATTCTAGAACTTATAAATGTGCAAACAAGGGAAGATGCAATTGGGAAAAAGAAAAAGAGAAAATGAAATATCCCAACTCGAACATTTTTCTTGACTTAAAAAAAATATTGACTTGCTAAAACAATAATGAAAGCATCACATGTTAACACAATTCATCCTACTTATAGCATCGCATATAGTTTATCCTACTTTACAAACCCCCAAAATGGTACATTTTAATGAAATATGGCTTGTGTGAATCATCCAAGATACACCAAATAAGTGATAGATTAGTATCTTTCACTAACTTCATTGCAACTCATAACACCTGACATATAAGAAACACCATGGCTTGAAGCTCATAAGGTAACCTCGTTTTTCCTTCCCCGAAAGTAAAACTTTCACCCAACTTCTTCATTTCAGTAACTGCTCTATCACAACCTGCATCATTTCTTCCTAATAGGTTTAGATAAAGTAGATGCACCAAGAGAAGGCCTCATATCCCTCATTTTCGAACCCCATGTTTTCCGTTACATATGTTGATTCAGCTATGTGGCTCGGTCTTTCCCAAATACCATGGACAAGCGTGGGTGCAACGAGAATGACTTATTTAGTTAGTAAGTTGCATGAAGATGTTTCCACAATAAGAACCCGTAGAAAGCAAACCCAATGGTACCAAACAACACTTTTTTTTCTTGTCATCCTAGCCAAACACACTAGTATTTAGTTATATGCACTTTCATACTTGTCTTTCAAACGCTTCACTTTGTTTTGTACATGTTTCGCCTCTAGACTAATGTTGAGAATCTTTCCCCACATCTTGAAGGCAATCGTTAGGAAAATACTAGCTCTAAAACGGCTAGCCTCACACTTAGCTCCATCAGTTATCATCTCCTAGGGGATGATAAGCAATACATCTCCTCATGATTAGTTCAATTTTGTGAGGAAGTCATATAATCTATCAAAGAAGTCAAATAATACATAGGTAACAATAACATCACTTAAAGAAAATTGTCATAAGAAACAAATCAAATTGTCTTTACATATCTTGTATGAGTTAAGTAATACAAACATAAAAAAAATCAAAACAACAAAAAATAATTACAACAACAATCATCTTAACCAGTTTTCAATCCCTCATTTCTCTCCAGTCATCATACATTGCTCTTGAAAGATCATCCCTCCATTGAGTCTATCTCTCGCTTGACTCAACGGTTTCACTTTAGGCTATTACTTCTGGTAAATCTTCGACTATAGGCAAGTCAGCAACTGTAAGCATAGTGTTTTCCTCAAGGTCAATGTCTATATACATTTTGATAAAATTATGAAGCAAACTACATAATATGATTATTTGTCCCTAAATCCTGATTGGATAGAATGAAGGACTCCGCAAGATAGCTCAACATTTTTTAAGGGGGCCAAAATATCCGTCAATGACATTCTTAGAGCATCTACAATGGGAGTCCTTTTAGGGACTCCCACCACCACTTTTGAGGACTCATTTATGAGCTTTAGAGGAATATTTGAGTCGCTAAAAGAATATTGTTTACAATGGAAATTCTTTATAGTATAATCCCTAATATAGAGACTAAAATATTAAAAAGTTATTATTCATTTAATTGAAATATTGTAACCATTGATGAAAATAAAAAACTATCTCTACCATTGATTTTTCAAGAATTAAAAATAAATAAATAAATAAAAAGGCAAATGAGAAGTTGCCCCACTTGGGTGGGTTCAAAAAACAAAGAAAAAAAAAACATAAAAGAGCAGCACCATTCCCACTCAAAATTAATATGGAGTCCACTATTCAAGTCTCTATATGTAGTCCTCATATTTGAGAATTCTTTTAAGGTATCCGGCAAGTCCCTATGTATTGAGATGCTTTGAGGTCGATTCTGGTTCATTAGAAGTCATTTTTCCCTATATTTAGGGACCATATGGTTGTAGAGATTCCATTTAGGGTCTCCATTAGAGATGCTCTTAGCATGTGAGTATTTCACATTAAAATATTTTCTTGATTCTTAGGTGCATGTGAATGAAGGGTAGGGCCAATTAACCCTTAGAAGGGTCAGCTTCTAGGTTTTAAAAGACGCTAGTCAGGCCGTGGGAAGGGCCTACCCCTAGGCGTCTAAACAGGGGCCTAAGCGATTTCTTTTAATTTTGATTAAATTTTATTATATAACATATAAATGAATGTCCAACTACACTTAAAAAATTGTGACAGCCCATCCCGAAAGTTATCTTAGATAACGTGGAATGACGATTTTGCCCTTGGACGTTAGTCGGTGTCTTGGGCGATTTGTTTTCTTTTGTTCTGGGTTGGCTGCCATCAGGACATACACACACCAAAACAAATTCCTGGACCCTCCTCTCTTTCCACTTTCTCGGATTTTCCTCCATTTCCGTACACTTGTACGGACAACTTCGAAACTAACCTCTCCACCCACGGATCGTGGTCATTGTTGGTATTTTTGGACTCATTTCAAGCTCAGGAGTTGAGCTATACCATTTTTAGGATGTGAAGCTGTCGGAAAACCCAAGAACCATAACCTCCGATTTGAGGTATTGTTCATGTACACGTAATTGTGAAGTTTTTGGAAGATTCTAAGCTTATAGGAAGCTTTAGAACATCTTCACGATGATCGGGGAATAATTTTGGAAGATTTTGGACGTCGGAAAGCTCGGGTTGGCAACTTGCAGAGGTGATCGAAATATTCGGTGAGTTTTCGGGGTTTTGGGTCACAAAAGTGAAACCGGCCAGAATTCGAGTTGCAGATGGCGACGTTGACGGCGGCGGACGACGACGACCGGTGAGGCTCACCGGAGAAGGAGAAGAATATTCCATCAAAGTTAACGGAATATTCTAACAGCGTCAGGTGAGACCTATCTCGAGGACGAGCGCAGTCACTCGAGGTTGGGGAGCTGCGACCCTTCCACTTACCAATGAGTGGGTCTTTTCCTTTTATCGTGTATATATATACACACACACACACACATGATTGATAATTCCACAAACGTTTACAAATTGAATTTCATATAATTTTTGTTAATGCTTTGGAGGACTAGTGTGAACTACGAAGGGCTTGATCCTTGTTTAGGGTACGTAGGCAGTCTAACGAGACGTTAGATGCAGCCATACAATACACATGACGAAATATTTAAGATAATAGCCTTGCTTGTGGAATTGAGTAGTGTGAGGAAGATTGGTGAAAAATGGGAGATTTAACCTTAGGTTTTGGTATTTAAATGTTGGACATAAGTTAAGATAGAAGAACCAAGAAATTGAGGTAAGGAAAGGTAAGAAGTGATAGTTAATTTAATTAGTGTCTAATTGGACTTACACTTATGATTACTCTTGAAAGTAAATAGTTCGGGAGTGGGGTGTTACAGTTATGCATTTCATGCTATTTGTATATATGTCTATATATCTGGAAATGTTTATAATATGGTTGAATTTCAGATTTACATCATGGCATACTCATATGTTTATTACCTGAACCTAATTATTGTGAATGCTTTGAAGTGCTAAATGACGCCACAGACGCTCAAGTAAGATTCAGGTAAGTACACTTTAATGATAATGATGGTAGTGAGCACGATTGTATTGAGATATGTTAGAGCTCATAAACCTGCACCTCGGTGTTAATGCTCCCACTCGTGGCCAGTCTTCACGTGATCGTTCACCTCCTGCACCACATGCTCACCTTGGATCCAAGGTATGTGACAGTCTATCGTACAAACTACTTTAGGTGGTTCCAACTCGTAGGTGACTTGCAATATTTCGCACAACCTTCACATGATCATAGCACTTGAGCGTATTTATTTACACCCAGCCTGTCGTACAGACCACTTTAGGTGGTTCCGACTCATGTGCAGAAATTGATTAAGGAGCTATATGTGTTAGCAATGATTGTTGAGAGATTAGATGAGATATGAATAAGTCGTACAGGTCATTATAAGTGACTCTGACTTATATGTGCTAGCAATGATGATAAGATATGTGATGCGATATGAATAAATCGTACATGTCACTATAGGTGACTCTGACTTATATACTAGCTATACATGATGAGATATGTGATGATATGTGATGTGATATGTGCATAGTTATACAGGTCACCATAGGAAATTCTAACTTGCATGCTAATATGGTTTATTAAGCACGTGATTCTTTGTATTGCCAATGAGATGCTGGATAGTGGTATAC